GGTTTTGACCCTTCTTCCGCCATGGACAACAGGGATTCAAACAGAACAAGGTGGGAGACGACAACGCCGGCTAACCTTTTTCCGATCCTCTTCGCTCACTAAGCCTCTTCGTTCACTTTGATGTAAATTTATAAATGTGAGCGAAGAGGATCGGAAGAAGGTTAGCCGGCGTTGTCGTCTCCCACCTTGTTCTGTTTGAATCCCTGTTGTCCATGGCGGAAGAAGGGTCAAAACCTAGTCGCTTTGCCCTTCTCTTGATAGAATTGAAGCTGGCGTAGGTCTCGATTTTGGAGAAGCTTACGGAATACGCTTGAATTTTTTTCCTTTTTACTCGGCATATAGGGACAGCTGCACTAATAGGCTTTTCATAGCCCACATTTTAAAGCCAGCCCAATAAATAATGACCTGGCCCAAAAATTTGGGTGGGACTACCGTTCATTTGTGCCTCTCACCATTGTATAGACTAGATTTTAACCCGTGTGATGCACAGTAAAAACACTATAATATTAAATTATATACAACATTAACGGTATTATATGAGACATTTTTTTCTTCTTTGCAATTTAAAATTATTAATCTTTATCGATTTGTCAAAATAACCACATATTGCATAAATAAGTTTTTGCATTACATGTGTGTTGCACGGTACATAATTCCGTTTACATTAAAATGTGAAAAATGATAATGTTGATTGATGAATCTTTGTATCAAAGGATAGATACATATGTACAAATATAACATTATGTATAAATAAAAGTTTTATGGTATTTTATCACAAATAGTAGGCAAATTCTTTTGTGGTATACAAATAAATAAAATAAAATACATGCCATCTTTCTCAAATTAAAATATTTCATTTATTTAATTTTCAAAAAAAATAATTTTTTTTAAGAAAATGTTACAAAATAATCAAAATTTAAAAATGAAATAAAATACACTGACCTGATACCTGATCTTGATCTTCAAACTATCTCCTTTAATTTACAAAAGCTCAAGTTGAAAATTTACTGATTTGCTGCATGCGAAGTTTGGAGGTGGTTTTCAGATGCTTCAAAATAGAAATAGTGAAAAAAGTTAGAAATATAAAACTAAATAAAATATTTAAAAAATGGAGGAAGAGTAAGACCTGTAAATTGCTCTTATTTACTCAATCATTGCTTCTACTTCAAATGAACACTTTCTGGACATGACTCCATTCCGAGCAACATCAAGTGCTCCATTCACCATCATTGTTCCCTTCCACATAAGGAAAAAAATTGATGCAAAAAATTTAAAGTAGAATCTAAAAATTATTAGGACTTCATCTATTTTATCACAATTTGCAAGTAAATTATAGAAACAGGATCTCTAATCTGTCGATGAAATTTGGGGAGGAAGCCATCTATTTTGGAACCTGGCTATCTTGAAGTCGCAAACTGAGAAAGTCGAGATGCAAAGACCAAGGAAGAAGAAGAAAAATACACCTTTTCTAGGGCAGTCAAATGTGGAAGAGAGATTCAAGATCGTCGCACGTCTTTCTAGTCGTCGGTTATGTTAGGATCGAAACCCTAGCCCGTCGTTGTCACCATCCTCGACAACGTTACTCCCTCTCTCTGAGTTGACTCCTTTTCGGCGCTAGGAATTTGCCTAGGCTCAGCCAGCACACTGATGAGGAAGAAAAAACCTCTCTGAAATTTGACGGATGAAAGAACGCACTATGAGCGAGCGTGATATCGTGGGAGGTTGATGTAAATGTATAATGGTGTAACTGTTCTCGCACAATTTTTCCTGCTGCGGTTGTAAATAGGAGGATATTGATGAATCATGAAGAAATAAAAAAAATTATAAATAAGGAAAGAAACAGTAGAAAATGGCTAAACTAATCAATGTAAGCCAATTAAATGAAAAAGATGAGTGAAATTGAAAATATGCGAATATAGGAATCACCTGGATAGAAGTAGACAAAGGAAGAACATCATATTTATGCACCTCTGCTTAAGACATAAGTGCTTATGGACTTCTAAGCTTTAGACAATGAGGTCTCTAAAGTTCTCTTCATTTTTCCAAGAACAATCAACCACCATTTGTAGTATCATCTTCATTCAATCCCAACCTTTCATTTTTAGATTCAAGAGTAGTAACGAAAAAGGATCAGGTAGAAGATATAGAAAATGGCTTTACATCTCCATTAAATCTAAAAGCGTCTGAAAAAGAAGAAAAAAACATGTCAGAATTTTTACATCAATTTACTGTTTGCAATTAACAATTAAGAAAAACCTGGATTGAACCTAGGAATTAATCACACAAAAAATGGATTGTTTAGGGTACACTTCAAGTAAATTGATCTAAACAAATCCCGCATTTGTTATAAGATGAAGTTACAAATTTGATGATATTAATGGATATGAAATTCATATGGAGAGATATATATAGGAGTACAAATGGCAAGAAGGTAGCTTTGAAATCTCAATTATGAAAAAAATGAAGGAATTGATGCTGAAATTTGTATGTGTTGTACCTGCGGAGTCAATGTCAAGAGAGATGATGAACAATTGCTCAACTCTTGCAAAGACAACCTCCACCCATCTCCCTCCTCTTCAAGCTGCAATGTTCCTGAAGATCTCAAAGTCTTCTCTATTCATTTTAATCGTTTGAGTACTCCCTCGCCCTATGTCTATTCTCAATCCAATCTGCGTTGAAGTGAAGCCAGCCTTGACAGTCACCAGAGCCTCCATATACCCCCTCCCAGAATTTGTCTGTCACCAATGCTTCACCCAGCAGATTAAAATGCTCGCCTTTTTCTTTGTCTCCTATGGATGTGCCTCATGCTTCCATCCATATTGCTAAGTGCTTGGGGGCTTGCAGTTTTCAATGATCGCCAAGCATCCCGCTAGCTTGCGTTGTATTGCTCAGAATACGATTGGGCAGGAACAATTACTGCTTTTTTTCTGTTAAAAGTAAATAAAAGGGTCGTAAAGCAGCTTCTGATCGAGAAATGTAAATTGCTCGTGATTCCAAGTTTAACAATCTAATACCAGCACAACAATATTGCCAAGATGACCATCAATCATAAGCTACATTAATGATAAGAAAAATGAAAAACTATGCTTGAACATGTATTTAATATACTCCGTACATAAGATAACTCCATTGTGGAAGATCTGATCTTTGTTTCTACCTCGAGCTATTGAAGCCAAATTTTTTGAAACCTAAATAATAATAAAAGGTTACTCTTTTTGTTGGAGGCTCAAAATAATAGTAAAAAATCAATACTTAATTAAACATGCATATTCAAGCAAAATCTGAACTAATAAGAAAATGCTCAAACTCCAAATCCATTGACACTTAATTAATATAATAAAAGAAAAATAATAAATAGACTAAAAAAATTGGCTTCATGAAACTTATAAAAATATATACAAACAACCAACAAAATCAAAGAGTAGAACACATTATAAGATCGTAAAACATGTAAATTCTTTTTTGCATTTTGTTCGGATTCCAAGGTATAAAAAACCTGATATTCCAAGTGGGTGATGAACGGTAAAAACATACCAAATGCATAGGAGTTGCAGTAGGGACTGTTGTTTTTCATTCTTCTAGCGTCTTTCACTTGGCACTTGGAGGCTTCACCCTCACCTTTCGTATTGAGAGAACTGAAAGACATTTAACTGATTATACGGACTTAAAACTAAATATGTATAACAACTTAAAGACTTATGTGTTGTAATATTATCAAACTTTAGGATCTAGTATATTTAAAAATCACATGCATATGATGAAAAATAGATATATTTGCACCTAAAATCTAAACTTCAATTGAAGATTATAAGTTCATGTATACACGGAGAGCATATTCAAATATCACAATGCAGTGAAACTAGATTTGGAAAAATGACTTCTAATTTATTGGCTGTTTGAGAAGTCCAATGTTAAAAATGAATTCGAGAGAAGAAAAATACCACTTTAAAATGGTGGTGTCATTGTTGAATTGTGATGTTGTTGACCTATAGCAAGAATCCAAAGACACACATTGTCACTCCATCGAAGAAAAGATGAAAAAATGAAAGATTCGGTCATATATATAAAGAAATTTCAATAAAAAAAGAAACGGGCGTTACCCTCGTCTTTGAATCCCTGCCCTGTGATGCGTCAAGTCGAGGAGTTGTTCTTTGAATTTAATGGCTGAAACTCTAGCCTGCATCTGCCATCCGTCCTCGCTGCATCCTTACCCCTTTATCCCTATCGTCTCTCTACTGGCACTACGAATCTGGCCTAGGCTTAGTGAGCGAAGAGGATTGGAAGAAGGTTAGCCGGCGTTGTCGTCTCCCACCTTGTTCTGTTTGAATCCCTGTTGTCCATGGCGGAAGAAGGGTCAAAACCTAGTCGCTTTGCCCTTCTCCTCTTGATAGAATTGAAGCCGGCGTAGATCTCGATTTTGGAGAAGCTTACGGAATACGCTTGAATTTTTTTCCTTTTTACTCGGCATATAGGGACAGCTGCACTAATAGGCTTTTCATAGCCCACATTTTAAAGCCAGCCCAATAAATAACGACCCGGCTCAAAAATTTGGGTGGGAGTACCGTTCATTTCTGCCTCTCACCATTGTATAGACTAGATTTTAACTCGTGTTATGCATAGTAAAAACACTATAATATTAAATTATATACAACATAAACAGTATTATATGAGACATTTTTTTCTTCTTTGCAATTTAAAATTATTAATCTTTATCGATTTGTCAAAATAACCACATATTGCATAAATAAGTTTTTGCGTTACATGTGTGTTGCACGGTACATAATTCTGTTTACATTAAAATGTGAAAAATGATAATGTTGATTGATGAATCTTTGTATCAAAGGATAGATACATATGTACAAATATAACATTATGTATAAATAAAAGTTTTATGGTATTTTATCACAAATAGTAGGCAAATTCTTTTGTGGTATACAAATAAATAAAATAAAATACATGCGATCTTTCTCAAATTAAAATATTTCATTTATATAATTTTCAAAAAATAATTTTTTTTAGAAAATGTTACAAAATCATCAAAATTTAAAAAATGAAATAAAATACACTGACTTGATACCTGATCTTGATCTTCAAACTATATCCTTTAATTTGCAAAAGCTCAAGTTGAAAATTTACTGATTTGCTGCATGCGAAGTTTGGAGGTGGTTTTCAGATGCTTCAAAATAGAAATAGTGAAAAAAGTTAGAAATATAAAACTAAATAAAATATTAAAAAAAATGGCGATTGCTCTTATTGACTCAATCGTTGCTTCTACTTCAAATGAACACTTTCTGGACATGACTCCATTTCGAGCAACATCAAAAGCTCCATTCACCATCATTGTTCCCTTCCACATAAGGAAAAAAATTGATGCAAAAAATATAAAGTAGAATCTAAAAATTATTGGGACTTCATCTATTTTATGACAATTTGCAAGTAAATTATAGAAACAGGATCTCTAATCTGTCGATGAAATTTGGGGAGGAAGCCATCTATTTTGGCACCTGGCTATCTTGAAGTCGCAAACTGAGAAAGTCGAGATGCAAAGACCAAGGAAGAGGAAGAAAAATAGACCTTTTCTAGGGCAGTCAAATGTGGAAGAGAGATTGAAGGTCGTCGCTCATCTTTCTAGTCGTCGGTTATGTTAGGATCGAAACCCTAGCCCGTCGTTGTCACCATCCTCGGCAACGTTACTCCCTCTCTCTGAGTTGACTCCTTTTCGGCGCTAGGAATTTGCCTAGGCTCAGCCAGCACACTGATGAGGAATAAAAAACCTCTCTGAAATTTGACGGATGAAAGAACGCACTATGAGCGAGCGTGATATCGTGGGAGGTTGACGTAAATGTATAATGGTGTAACTTTTCCCGCACAATTTTTCCTGCTAGGGTTGTAAATAGGAGGATATTGATGAATCATGTAGAAATAAAAAAATTATAAATAAGGAAAGAAACAGTAGAAAATTGCTAAACTAATCAATGTAAGCCAATTAAATGAAAAAGATAAATGAAATTGAAAATATGAGAATATAGGAATCACCTGGATAGAGGTAGACAAAGGAAGAACGTCATATTTATGCACCTCTGCTTAAGACATAAGTGCTTATGGACTTCTAAGCTTCAGACAATGAGGTCTCTAAAGTTCTCTTCATTTTTCCAAGAACAATCAACCACCATTTGTAGTATCATCTTCATTCAATCCCAATCTTTCATTTTAGATTCAAGAGTAGTAAAGAAAAGGATCAGGTAAAAGATATAGAAAATGGCTTTACCTCTCCATTAAATCTAAAAGCGTCTGAAAAAGAAGAAAAAAAATATATCATAATTTTTACATCAATTTATTGTTTGCGATTAACAATTAAAAAAAACCTTGATTGAACCTAGGAATTAATCACACAAAAAATGGATTGTTTAGGGTACACTTCGAGTAAATTGATCTAAACAGATCCCGCATTTGTTTTAAGATGAAGTTACAAATTTGATGATATTAATGGATATGAAATTCATATGGAGAGATATATATAGGAGTACAAATGGCAAGAAGGTAGCTTTGAAATCTCAATTATGAAAAAAATGAAGGAATTGATGCTGAAATTTGTATGTGTTGTACCTGCGGAGTCAATGTCAAATGTAATTATTCATTTCTTCCAAAAACTATGTAATTATTCATTTCTTCCAAAAACTATGTAATTATTAATCAACATCGGAAGAAGTAGATATTAAGTAATTATTCATTTCGTCCAAAAACTATGTAAGAGAACAAATAACACAAATGCCTCCTTAATTACAGGTTAATGCATAAAAAATTATAATGTTCCTTAAAACCAACAAATATATCCAATATTTCAGCAATATAAGATTGCACTATAGAGCTCCTCTGGTGCATGATAGTTCCTGAAATAAGGCATATCCTTAGCCATATGTCTTGTGCATAATAATTCCTGAAACTGAGCATATCCCTAGCCCTATATCTAAGGCTTGCAACATTCTCCTTGAAAAACTACCCCTTGATTGGTTAACCAAAACAACCAAGCAAGTCTAAAACCATTTATAAGGACACTTTGATAGTAACTGGGTTAACCCAAACAACCAAGCAAGTCTAAATGCATTTATAAGGCCACCTTAGTAGTAACTCAAACAACTATAAGATAAACATCAGGCCTAAGTCCATTTGAAATATACAAGATATGCCTCTCAAAAAATGATAACTAATTTGGCATGTCCTTGAAAGACCAATGAGCAGAAACAACAAAAGACCCTATAGTTTATATCTTGAGTTAGGTCACAAGATGTGCTCTTTATTTTGTAGTTTGTACACAAAATATACCACCTCTAATATGGAACCTATTGAAAACATAATCAAGAAATTAAATTTCAAGCTTTTGGTCCCTGAATTTCCATTAATGGTAGATGATGGGATGACCAGTGATAAATGAACAAAATTTTCCATGAAAAAAATTAGAGCAAAAATAATAATCAATCCACATTAGAAGAAGAGTAAAGAAAGTTAATCTGAAATTGTAAATAACCCTAAAATATACAAACATAACCGAAATTGTAAATTCAAGACTAAAACCAATAATAATTCCAAAATAAGAAGAGAAGGAAAGTTATGATTTACGAATATGAAAAGAACAGCCCCCTAGGGTTATACCCATCATGGATTTGAATTTCGTCGGACTAAGCTTCGTTGTTGGCCTCAAAGATGTTGTTTCTATCTTGCGTGTTCTTTCTCGAACAACCTCAGCCTCGACATCGTCTTCCCCCCTTTGCGAGTTGCGACCCTCTTTCATTATCGCTTCTCCATCGAAGAAAGAAGAAGGAAGAAAACCCTTTGGGCCTCTGGCATCGCACCTCTCGTTTACGCGAATGAAGCCGCTACTCAGTACTCTCTGTTTTTTAGAACAATAAATAAACAGCACACCTTTTAAAATCCGCTGCCTAAAATGAAAAAAAAAAAAAGAAATTCAGATTAGGGCCTTTTTAATATTTTTAGCCTGAGAGTTACTTGATCAGGTTTAAACAGCGATTTTAATATATTCGCTGTCTATTGTGCGCTGTTAGAAGTCAATTTTGTAGTAGTGTGGATTTAATCTTCTAATTTTATTTTATCAGTCAAATTTTATAAATATTAACTCGATATATGAAAAGAATAAATTTGTTTTTTATAAATGTAACGCCAACAATTTTTTTTGAAATGTTGTTTTGAAATATGAATTTTTCATAGGATATGATAAGTATAAATATTGATACAAATCAAGTGAGGTGATTAATTATACTCATATAATGAGGAGTCTTTTAGTTATTATTATAAATATACTCATATAATGAGGAGTCTTTTAGTTATTATTATTTCAAGATAGGTAGCAACCAAAACCTTTTTTTGTTTGGCATAAGACCACTAACTTAAAGATAAAATTACTCCGTAAAAATATTTATTCAGAGAAGTATATGCACGCATAGTAAATTATTCTATAAAAATAAATACGTCAATTTCTTATGCAAAAATATAATTCTATATACAAAAATAGAAATTGTTGTTTACCCTCAATAGGAATATATGGTACACAGAGACTGATATGTTTGAAAAACATTATTCATTATCTGTTTCGGTTTGCTTTGTTGTCAAATGTTTCAATAAGTACATATATAAATGTAGAATGATATAAAACGTAAAAATTTAGACTATAATATCCGAATAATATGTTTAATATAATATTTTTACTAACATATTCTAAAAAATTCATTGGTCAAACATATCACTTGAAAAACAAATTGGTGCTTTAAAAGATAATCAAGTTACTAATTCTTAAGATTAACGAAATGAGACTCAGTTTGACTTTTTTGTCAAAATAGTGGCACTCTTTCATTACAAATTATGAAAAAAGTATATTTAATTTCAATATAAATTTAATTTACTTGGGTTCATCTTAGGACATAGTTTTAATATATCAATTTTTTATAATATTTATATATTCAAATTATGTTTATTTTATGGTCAGAGAATGTCACTGTTTGACCAGAAAAAATCAAAACAGAAGATTTTTATAGGTCAGAGAATGTCACTGTTTGACCAGGAAAAGTCAAAATTGGATCACCTCTAAAATCTTTTACTTTCACAAAAATTCTGATCCTATAATTATCCAGTCTCCTTCGCGTTAATTAAAAAATTAGATTACTAAATACGAACCTTATGATTCAAAAAATATGATTCTGCTATCACACATCGCCATATTAATTTAGAATAGTGAAATCATTAATATTATTTATCTCTCATGCATTAATATGATTCTCCTCTCTTGCATTGATTAAAAAATATACGGTAATTTTTTTCTCCCCACATGATTTAAAAATAAACGCATGGATTAGCAATACTATATATGATTCAAAAAAAATTAAGTTTGAAAACTTTAAAAATCCAAAGATTGTACTTACCTACATTAGCTCAAGAAAATTAAGATTAAAAATATTAGTGATTTGGTGATTCTGAATAGAAATTTACAAAAAAAAAATTGATAGTATTTTTTCCAATTTTTTTCTTTATGTTTCAATACAAAATTCTTCAAGCCTATGCAAATATTCGTTTCTTAATTTATTTAATTTAAGCATTTGATCATTTAAAACAATAGTCTAGTCTTTTTTTATTTTATAGCATATAAAATATATTATTTCTCATAAAATACAAACAAACTTTATTTAAACATGTCCTAAATAAATATGAATTTATTTATGGGAACAACGTTAAATTTTAGCCGCTTATATCAGAGTTAGTGATTAACTGTTTGCATTGGAGATTAGGAAAGTACCTTTTTTTTAGAGAAGGGAATCTCATTTATTCATTGATAGTTTAATTATAAATGAAAATAAAATGGAAAAAATATAAAATTGGAAAAATACTTGTATTTTCTAATAAAATCGATTTTATCTATTCCTTAATTATATTTACTTAGTAATGTTGAAAAATTGTATTATATGACTTAATTATGAATATCATATCATAATATATCATGAGAAATAATATATTTTTGAATTTAAATTGTTAGTACTAAAATCAAATCATAACAATCAATACATTCGAACTATGAAATTATATATAGTATTTTTTTTTATTTTAACACAATTATAGTCCAGTCATTGCTTGTTTTATAAATAATTTAGTGTTATTTTTAAAATATTTTAAATGTTTTAATTTTACATCAATATTGCAATAAATAGAATTAAAACTAACTTAGTTATAACATATCATAAACAAATACCTCCATGACATTGATTTAGAGGTAAAAAATGTATCATATTTATTAATTGAAAGTTTTTTATTTCACCAATTTTCGGACAAGAAAATCCTTTTCCTTTATATATGAATTTGAGAGTCCTTACTCTAAGAATTTGACATGTGGCTCTTTAAAAAAATGACAAGTGACTTTTTCAGAAATTGACATGTGAAAATATCTATGTGGCACTATTTTTTTCACAAATTATCATTTATTTATGGAAGACAATTAAAAAAACCAAATAAATAATTTTGTAACGCCACGACCCGGATACCCAAATTTATTCGAATATCCGACTCGCGGTGTTAACGGGTGTAACTTTTTGAAACGGAAAATGGAGCATTAAACAAAACTTATTTATTTATTGATAATATCCAAGTAACTATTATACATGCGGAAGTTTAACATATTCGTGCAAAATATATATTTCAAAATAACATCTTTATTATTGTTATCGTTCTTTATGTCATCTCGTCCATCCTTCCATCGCCTTAGCATTGTCTTCTGGTTCGGTCACTATTCTGTTTGTGTACCTAAAAAAATGGAGCCAACCCGATCAGCAAAAGCTGAGTGGTACCAATTATAACAATAGGTACAAAATATAATAGCATAAACATATACGGAGTACTTTTCTCAAAATTCTTTACTTTGATAATATTAACATATTATTGTATAAAATTGTAGTATCAAGAAAATCAACTTTTCTTTTACTCTTTGTTTAACTAGGACTTCAAGTACTTCGGGTACAAGACGAGTCCATTATCTCTTTCTGGGACTTCAAGTACTTTGGGTACAAGACGAGTCCATTATCTATTTCTGGGACTTCAAGTACTTTGGGTACAAGACGAGTTCATTATTACGAGCTCGTACGTACGGCAATGGAGGGGTACTGGTTAACCTTGTAGAACCTCGTCAACTAGTTCACATATCAGAAATCGTTTATTAAATTTAGAAAATATAACTTGTATCTGTATGTGTCTCAATAACTTCTTTGAATCCATATTTCAAATTTAACTCATATCATACTTTTCTCTTTCTAAATAATTAGTACGTAATTTAAAAGTACGTAATACATAGAGTATTTTATATTTACTTCAAAGATATCCTTTTTTTACTAAAAACTTATTAAAAATTTCCTTAGAATATAGAGAAGTAGTTTTAGGCATAGAATGTAAAAGAATCTTGTCACTTGGAGTTGGTCGTTTCCGGTCACCTTCTCTGACGAGGTAACTTTGTTTTTATGTTCAAAACCCAATTTTTCTTCTTTTTATCATCAAAATACTTTTTACAAAACATATATAAATAGTTTGGACGTAAAGATTTGTACAAATTGTATGCCGCTATCGTGACCCATTTTTCGGTCGCCTTCTTTAACGGTGTCAAAAATTTGTTTCAAAACCTTATTTTTTCTTCGCATACTCTTATATAATCTTTATAGAATCTTTTTGGAGAATATTTTAGACAATTTGGACGTAGCGCATGTTTAAAATAGAAGTCGGCGGCGTTCCCGATTATTAGTGACGGAAATTAAATCAATTGAATATATAACAAATATAGCATATATTAACGTATTATATTAAGTAACGATTGTTATACGGGCGGCGATACTTACCTCGCGTTTGAAAGAGACAGACTCGATCCGGTGATCTAGAGAAACTTCGGTGTTAGTTTATTATGGAGTATTATTAGCTTTGGTGGCCGGTGCGGAATTTATGTGTACAGAGTACTTGGACTATGCATGGCTTTTTTTGGTTTAGGATCAATGCTTATTTATATTGAATTTGCTTAGTGATGAAGTAATGTAAAAATGATGATAATACAAGTTGTAGGTACGTGGCTTCCTAGTTTAGTGGCTTAGTGTCTTATTCCCACTTCATTTGATGACTCATAGATATGATAAAGATAAGGACTAATTTTTTTTTTTTTGAATGCTATTGACTCCATTACAAGGTAGTATCTGTTCATACAATTCTCAAGCTAATGACTAATGACGCACAAAGAGCCAATGCTGCTGCCTTCGCTGGGGCTCGAACCTGGGTGAACTTCCCCATGAATCCTGGGGAGTGGGCTTGCTACCACTCAAGCCAGGAGAGAAGTTCAGATAAGGACTAATTTAATTTGCTTCCCACTTACTTTGAATTATCCCAATTGATTTTATTTCATTTTTTTTTTTCAATTTTTCTTGAGATTAAATTAATGTTTACATTTTTTTTTGAATAATCTAATTTAAATATCATAAATATGAATTTATATTTTAATATGGAGCATTAACTCTATCTACAAAAATCGTGATAGAAACTTACTTCTTACTTTTTACTTTTATAAGAATATTACTTGATGCATAATTTTTAATTCGTAATTCTGTTTTGCTTATATTGGGAAGTTCTAGATGAGATGTACCACACAAGACTAATATTAAATATAAAATTTTGACCTCTTGCATTTTTGGTCTAATAAATATAATGACTTAATTTATATAATTATCTTATTAAATATTTCATTACATTCTTTTTAAATTTCTAGACCCAATTTCAGGGCGTTACAAATTTGTTATAAATTTATGAAAGGCAATCAATTACAAGTTAGGTAAATATTTAATATACTTAAATAATTATTTAACATTTACTCAAAAAACAATTCAACGTCTGATTATCAATTAAATATACTACAAATAATACTTGACATGATATTAAATTAAAATTTTAATTTTTATTCAAAATAAAATTATTCAAATTTTACTAAATCTTTTATATATAAAAATGAGACTTATATAGAAAATTGATATGTGTATTTATTATGTGATTTGTTTCACTTAATTTTCAGACAAGAAAATATGAAATAAATATTTTAGGATGACATATTTTGAATAGATTTAAATATTAAATTTAGATTTTTGTTTTAAAATAATATTTTTTTCTAATTCAATATTTTTTCTCTCTTTATGTATAACAAAGCTTTCAATTAATAAACACGTAACTCTTTTCACCCTTAAAAAAATTATATGAGTATTTGTTTAGGATATGCTTAAAAAAATTAATTTTGAATCTATTTTTTAAAATAATGATATAAAATTAAAAAATACAATACGATTGGTTTATACTAATCTTCAACTAGAAAAAATAGTACACATAATTTAATAGTATAAATATATTAATTTTATGATTTGATTTAATGACTAGAAAACTTATTACGTTTTAGACCATTTATTATCTAAATTTAAAAATATATTATTTTTAGTTATCTATTAGCAAATGATACTGAAATTAAAATATAGAATATAGTTAATCAAAATATGTGTCACCATACCATACTATGGTTACACAAACATTTTTTATGATTTCAACAACATCGAATAAATTTAAATATGGAATATTGGTATTCTTTTTAATTTTAGATTCTTTTCCATTTCATTTATAATAAAACTTTCAATGAAGAAATAAGATTTCTTTTGTTAAAAAATATATTCTCTTTGTCTCCAAATAAATTTTATATTTGTTTATGATATGCTTATTAAATGAAGTTAGCTTTTCTTTTATTGGTTTAAACATTGACGTGAAAATATAAAATTCTCATGTTTATTTAAATCTCAAAATTAATATTTTATAAAACAAAAATTCGCAGGCTTGAATGATTACTTATTCAAACGTAAAAGAAAAAATAAATAAAATTTGCAAATTGTATTTACAATTTTTCATTCAGAATCATAGGATTACTAATATTTTTTATCTAAAAAGTTATTCTCATTTCGAGGATAGGGCACTACTGGCACCCATGCTTGAGGTTGTAGATATGGTAAATGATTTTTTCATATCCCTCATTCCTGGAGATGAAGAGTTTCTATTACTCATACAAGGCAGATTTAGATGTTAGTGTTTATGGCGATTGAATAACAGTTGAGTTTTTGAATAAATTCAAATGTTCGAAGATGTCAAACCACAATATAATTTTTAAAAAGGGGTATCAAAATAGTTTGAATAACTGTGAAAGAGTGTTATCGATGCTTTAATGTTTTTGGAAAATACGGAGAAAAGGTTTGCATACCTTGGATGAATTTGGTACCATCTATATAGGACTACAACTGAAGTTTTAGTGAGGACAATTCTCAATAGTTTTATTTTTTGCAATGACTATCAACAAAAGTCAAGGTCAGCATTGTAATTTGTTGGATTATATTTAATTAGTTCATTCTTCATTTGTGGTCAACTTTATATTGTTGTTTCAAGACTGAAGACAAAGATAAGATTATAAATATTGGTTCTAGATTACAATAGAAATCCTAGCAACCATACCAAAAATGTTGTATAGCCTAAAATCTATTACAAAATTTGGTATTAAAAAACATTTTGTTGTATACACATTCAATTCTTAAAATATTATTTATTCAACTTTGGAATTTTCGTCTATAGTATTAATAATCATGTAAGAAATACATTTTTTATTTCAAAAAAAATATTACATTGAAAAAGTTTTAGAATCGATAAAAATTTGTTTAATCTCGTGCGTCGCACGGGTTAGAATGCTAGTTACTTTAAGAGTTTAAGGTTTCTCTAACTATTCTTTTTTTTTTTTTTAAATTTTTTCTAGTTTCACTTAACAATGACTCTAAAAATAATAAATTTTTGATTTGATTATTATTATTATTCTATTTATAACTATAGTTTATAAATTACTTCAAATTATCTATTTTTATTTTTTCACTTGTCACTATTTTGTGATTCACACCATTATTACTATTATTATCTTCCACTTTTTAATGCTCCGTATGAATAATATAAAATAATTTCATTGTTTGTTAATTTAGTTGACACTAAGTAGTCACTAACTAACCTATGTTCTTAGAATTATGAATAAAGTAACTACTTTTTATTAATCTAAATTGATCTAGGGAAAACATAAATATTTCAAATTAAAAAATAATAAGTCTAATACTACATTATGAAAAAAGAAAAAATGATCAAAATTGTGTAAAAAAAAAGGATAACAAAGAATATAACTTATAATTAAATTGAACGAATAAAAAATTAATACTTTATTTTATTTGATCTACTTTGTATTGCCTGCAATCCTACATATACATACATACATACATATATACATATATACATACATACATACATACATACATACATACATACATACATATATATATATATACACATACATACATACATACATACATATATATATATGTGTGTGTGTGTGTGTTAAATATATTATTGTATATTTAATATCTTTTATATATGGTAGATTTCCATTTGTATAGGGTTTCTTTGTTTATATCCTACCATAGCTCTTCAGACTTGTGATTTTGTATATATACGGGGCTTGACTCCACAAGTTTAATATAGAAAACAATAATTCTTCATGGTATCAGAGCCTCTTTCCGAGACCTAAACCCTAACGCCGTTTTTCTTCCCCGGCGTCCCCCTCTCTCTCTCGGCCCCTACCCATCTGAACCCTACGGCCAGCCACCACCTATTCCTACGGCTAGCCTCCACCCTCCCCTTACTCAACCACATACCCCCCACATCACCCCTACACCCAACCGTCAACCCCCCCTCCCCCCACACCCACCGCCCTTGCCCACAATTTTGACACCCTCAGCCTCCGTGACCCTACATGGTACATGGACATGTGAGCATCCCATCACATAGCCTCCGACACAGGTACACTTTCTCATGTTCGTTCTCATTCTTTAAATTCATCTTCATACATCATTATTGGTAATGGTTCTAAAGTTCGTACTAAGGCTACCGGTAATTATCACTTCCCTACTTCCCCCTCCCTGTCCCTACATAATATCTTGGTATCCCCCCATATTATCCATAACCTTATCTCTGTTAGACAATTCACCCGCGACAACAATTGTACCGTTGGGTTTGACCCTGCTGGTTTTTCTGTGAAGGATATGCAGACAGGGTCCGTGATTCATCGGTCCAATGATGCCGGTCTGTTGGAACACACTTTGCACGTTTAACTAAAGTCGTGTTCATTTCTGACAGGTTTTGATAATTGCCAAACCGCCGTGGATATAAAGAGTTTCGTTGCATAACTCAAGGCGCGAATAATGGCATGGAACAAGACCTAAAAGACTCAAGGACAAGATCAAGAATTTAAGACTTAGTCGAGTCGGTCTTTTGTGATCAAAACCGACAATCAATTCAAGTCTCGGTTCTCAAAGAGTCAAAATAATTTTACAAAATCATAAAATATTTTTGTGCATCAAAATAAACATTTTTGATAAATTTTTTTAAAATCCCTGGTCCTTGCTCAGAACCAAAATCACCTAAGTCGGCGTACCGTGTTCGGCGTTCGGTTTTTTGGCGTCCGAACCAACTCGGTGGTTTTCTATGTTTTAAACCTTGTTTTTTATCTCTGAGCATATTTAAAAGGTTCCCAAATAATTATTTCATAAAAACCACTTTTGTATCTTGGTCAATCGGTCTAACACGTGAGAAACGGTCATAACCGTACACACGTGATTTACGACCTTGGAGCATAGTTTTAAAAACCGGACCGGACCGGCCGGTTCGGACCGGGAACCGGTGAACCGGATGCCATACCGGTCCGGTCCAGCTCTTCAGACCGCCACTAGCAACGAACCGCCTGGAACCAGATAAAACCGGTTAAACCCGGCCGGTTAAACCGCCCAGCACTTTTTTTTTGTTACAGTTTTCAAAACTTAGTTTTAAAAATCGGACCGGACCGGCCGGTTCGGACCGGGAACCGGTGAACCGGAT